GAGCCTTGGTGGCTTGTGTGGTGGTGCTTGGGAGTCCTCTAACTCACTCATGCTTGGTAGTGTTCATCCGATCCAGTGAGTGAGCGATTCTAGTGCGATTGCATCGTGAGGTTGCATCGAGTGGCACTAGATGATCGAGTTGCAAGCCAATGGTGCTTGTTACTCTTGGAGGTTGCCACCTCCTAGATGGCTTGGTGGCTTGTGACTCTGTTGAAGCATGTGAGAAGATTGTGCGGCGCTCCGGAGGAGGATTTGTGAGGGGGATTGTGCTTACCCCGCGGGGATCGTGAAGAGCAACTCTAGTAGAGCGTGTCATTGAGCTACCCTCACTTTCGGGGTATGTTCTTGTGGTGCCCAACGTGTGGGTTTGGCGGGTGATGCCAATTAGCCGCCGAACCACCAAGTGAGCGGTCGACACAATGAGGACTAGCGTGTTGGCTAGCACATGAACCTCGGGAGAAAAATCGCCGTGTCATCCTTGTCTTCCTGTTGATTTCCATCTCCATTACACAAGCTTGTATTTACTTTCATATACATTGCGCTTGTGTAGTTGCTCTTGTAATTAGTTTGCTTGTGTAGCTTGTTAGTTACCTTCTTGCTTGTATAGCATAGAAGTAGCTCCCTTGCGTGGCTAATTTGGTTTTAGTAACCATGTTAGTCACATTGCTTAGTTTATGTAGCTAAGTAATTTGTGCTCTCTAATTTGGCATTAGTTGCCTTGTTATTGAGCATTGCTAGTGAGTTTAGGAACTTTGTGCTTTTGCTTACTAGTTGTGTAGGAGCTCCTCCGTGCTTGAAGTACTAGTGGCATAGGTTTATGTGACCTTGCTCCTAGAATTGGTTAGGTGAGCTCTATCTAGCCTGGCACCTTGGTTGCTTGTTTAGGATCTTTTCAAGGTGCTTGATAACTTAGATAGAGGGGTGTAGTCTTGGCTAGACCGATAGTTTTAATTCCGCATTTGTTACGGTTAGCCGACGTGATTAATTTTAGAAAGGACTATTCACCCCCCCTCTAGTCCGCCATCTTGACCCTACACATGTACATGTCATTATTTGCTTGTAGGTACAAATGTGTCTCAAAGTGCAAGTCCATCAAAGTTCAACTTTCAGTTTATTAGTGATCCAACAATACTTCATTGGGAAGGCCATAACTCATCATCCGGAGTGCGATTGAGGTCAATGTGTACTTGATAGAAAGCTTGTTTAATAAGATTTCAAATAGATCTGGTCTCACATCAATATCACGTCGGCAAGACCTCTAAATCAACAAGATATTCTGTCGTTATTTCTGCTGCGAGCTACATCATCGTCACGGGCTTGTTATTCATCCTTGGGACCCTGGCCCAAGTGGGAGCACGCCCCAAGGAGATGGAGAACTCGCCAAGGAATCCCTTGGATGTCCTCCTTCTTGGCCGCCTCCTTAGGAGGCCAGCAAGGGCGTCCAAGCCAAGCCGGAGGCCCAGTCCAACTCGAGTTCGAGTGTGCCTCGGCCTTCAGGACCAGTCAGCAATAAAACGGACGCCCAGGATGCATCCGAACTCTGTTTTCGATGATCCACATATGGATGGAAAGATAATTTCATAAGCTAACCAATGGCTTTGGTTTGAGGTCCAAATTCTACCTGAGTTAACAGGAATCATCAAAATAAGTTAGCATCCAGAATCTGTTAGGTGCTGCTCCACCGCTTTTGGTTCGTTGCGCCGTGTATCATCTTTGAGCCCGTTAGGGGGGCACGTCCAGGGGGAGTGACAACCCTTAGACCTTATATTCAGCCGCCGGCGCCATCGTGAGGGTTTGGGTTTTACTTTAGATCAATCTGTTTTTGAACAGTCGTCGTTATCGGTTTGTGAAACCCCACATTCGAGTGCTTAATTATATATCCACAATTGTCACTTTACTTGAGATGCGTTTTATCTTGTTCTTGCTTGTGTTCTTCGATTCACAGCAGGGTTTAGCCTTCTTGGCGAGGTCAACTGGTTTATGACACGGTTGATAACCAGGGGAGACGTGGTGTTAATGTTGCAGGGTTCGGGTCTTTGTGATCTGAAGCCGGATCAGTATGTCGCTTTCTGCCCAAATCGATAGTTATCTCGAAACTGACGGAAGATCGGAAATCTTGTCCCCATCAGAATTCTTGTACCATTTTAAAGCAATAAGCATTAGCCCTTCAAATCCACTTCATGTCTTCATATTAGTTGTCAACAAATCAATGATCAAGCTAGCGTAGATCTACATTAAGATATATCAAATAATAGATTTATACTACCCTGAACCACTTCATGTCTTCATATTATAAATAGAAGAGGAATGTTACTAGTGCAGATCAGGTATATTGGTAGTTCGGGTACTAGAGAACATTACGCTAACTAAATTTGGTTTTTTTATCTGAAATTATAATCGGGTATTTCTAGTCCTGGTACTTTGGGTCTGGGTTCAGATAATTTAGGTTCGGGAATTGGTACCATGTGTTTTTCCCACACTTGGGACCCCTAAACGTAGTTGCATTCTTACGTCTCAACATGTAATCTAGCTATTCTGCGATATATTTGCCCATAGACTTGGGAGAAAACATGCAACTACACTTGTCCATTTGGGACAGTATAATGGGACTTTCTTAGGAGAATAAAAATGCTTGATTATAGGAGAATATGCCGGCCAAACAAACACTACAATATGGATTACTTGTACGTGAATAGACCAAAAATAGTAATTCTACTCGGTGGAAGTTGATGTAGCACTTATCGGGGGATGGTGGGGTACTTGGGGTATACTCACATGTATACACACTCCTACTAAAGACAAAATTAAAGCAGACTGGTTGTCATTTAAAGAGTAATTATCTACCAAAATAGTTTTAGGCCCCATGGGGCTAGCCTACCCCTTTTAGTTACCTTTTAGCCCTTATAAATCCAAACATGAGAGCTAAAAGTGGAGGCTAAGCTTTAGCCTACCTCTTTTCTATTAGCTCCTTCAAAATGGGTTAAAGAGGGCTAAAAGTGGTCCCTTCATGGCAAAAATACGCATATTACCCCCCCCCCCCACCTACCCCATTTTAGTCATGTGCATAAATATTAATTAGGAATAAATAGGTCATGATACGGTACATGACTAATCTTTAGCCCCTGGATCAAACAACCCCATGAGCTAAACTTTAGCCTCTTAGAAATGGATCTAAACAGTGCCTTAACCCAATGGATAGGTTCACCAATTCACCGTAGCAACTTGATATTTTTCCTATTTCTCTGGGAAGCGCCCTATTTCTAGTTGAAGCACACCTAGGATATTTCTCTATTTTCAAGAGTGCGCCCTATTTCTAGTGGAAGCGGTAATGGATTTAGATTATCCAAAATCCAATTGGATTTTTCTTCCTTGGACTTTGTTGGACTAGATGTGTTTGAATTTGGACATCCATATACATCTGAGTCCAAACGAACCTTGGATTTTAGATCCTAGATGAGTGAAACTTTGGACGTCCAATGGATATTGGCGTCCAACGTCGGTAACGCGTGTGGCGTACACGGTGATGCCGAACTTGCAGAAAATGTGACCGTTCGTATTCGGTCGAGGCCAATAATAGGCCACAACACCGAGAGCAGCCCTTCCATAGAAGCAGCTTGTGCGTGATGGTCACCACATCCGACGTGCCAAAGTAGGAGGAGAGTGCAGCGCGGAGCGAGCGCATCACGGTTGCCTGGAACGCCGGCACTAGTGACACCGTCATGGCGGTGGCTCCGCAGCAGTGCCGTGATGGAACTCATGTAGAGTCGCTATAGAAGGAGGTGACGAGCACGGTAATGTCAGCGTAGTCACGGCGGACCGTCACGCTGCTGGCAGGCACAACATCGGCTGGCTAGGTATGTGAACAACAGCCACCGCGTGATGGTCCGCCGGTGCCGGACAGGGTGTGTCCTCGGTTGTGCTAGCGCTGTCCAGCAAGCACATCAGACTCGGGAGCCTACCCTGAACAGGTGAGCACGCAAGGCATGGTGGGAGTCGATGGAGTACTCGCCACAGAGCCAGAGACATTGCATTTCTATGTTGCTTGCTGGAGAAGGAAGAAAACTGCTGACGTTTACAGAATGGCTAGTTGCTCTCTGCGTGATTGGATTTTGTTGGATGGATTTGGATTTTAGGCGACCTGGATTGGATTGGATCGTGGGCACTTTTCAATGGATCGGACTGGACAATGGATGCTCATTAGTTGGATTATGAGGTGGACTTGTTTATTTGGATTTGGATTTTAATCCATTGCCAAGTCTAATTCTTTCTTATCAAAACTTTATTAGAACGGAAATTTGTGTGACCTTATTTTTTATGATTCGGGTGAAGTTGAAGAAGCCAGTTACGTCAGCGAGGTAGAACGTGAGTTCAGCTGATCTCTGTACCACGAATCGTTTTCGACATTGATTGGCACTTGGATATATTAGCTGCTTTGGTACTTCTAATAATGGAACTCCTATAATTGCCTCGACGCTGTAAACTGGTGGCCTTCTTGTAACCACGTGTCACCATACATGACGCATGCTCCTACCAGCAACTGATGCATGCTCCTACCAGCAACTGAACTGAACGTATGCCACCACAGAAAAAATGGTGGCCTTGTTGTAGCCACGTGTCACGATACATGACGCATGCTCCTACCAGCAACTGAACTGAACGTATGCCACCACAGAAAAATGACCGGTCTACATTAATCTTTTGTACAGTTTCTAATGGCACACAATACTCCGACTCCGAACTCCGAAGCACAGGCGATAGCAGCTGCGCTTCTATATATGAGTTCCGACAATCGCAAGTTCGCAACTAGAATGCAATTGACAGTTAATACTGTCTAGGGCCGACAAGCCGAATTGAGATGCGGTCGTTAGCTCCAACTCTGCCACAAATATACTTACCAGTAATAGTAACAGAGAGACCACTGAATAACCCCATTTCTGCCCCCATGAGCTCCTAGAGCAGTACTATATGTAGTTGAAATGTACATTCCGATCTTCCAAAGTTTACTTGCTGGCGTCTCTTTCGGAATTGCCTGTTGGCACCACCCCTGGAGAGTCATGGTTGTTCACACTAAGATCTACCCCCTGAGTCTGGATTTGCCATCAGGAAGAACAATTGTTACAAGATACGAAACTCTAATGAAAAGCACGCTATAAATATAACAAGACATCAACCGCAGTGAGCATGACAGACCTGGGAATTTGATCCTTGCCCATGAGTACGAACTGGCCGCATATTAAGATCGATCATTTTCGAATCAATGTTGCCCTGGTCATCGCAATTGCCATCAGAGGCTGGATCATCGCCGTTATGGTGGTTTGCCATTTGCTTCTTCTGGTCTCTCTGGTTTTCAGGATCTTTGATTTCCATAGGCACGTCATCCATATGGCCTGGTTTATCTCCTGGAAACTAATAATAGCTCGCTATTTTGAGAACTATAAAAATACAGGGAGTAGCAATCCAGATTGGTTAAAGAGTAAAAACTTACTTCAACCCTTTGCCTTAGGAGCAGGTATCTTCCATGGGTTCGTTTGCCACCAACATGAACAGTCATATCACAGCTCAGGCAAAGTGAGGTGCCATCTATCTCGCAGTAGAAGAAAGCTACATTGACAGGGCAAACAATGTGAACCCAGGCAAATGAAAGATTTATTAATCTACTAATTGTAAAATAGGGGATTCATGAATCAAACAGCATACCGGGTAAATTTTCACATATATCACAACGGGCAAGTTTATTAGGGTCTGCAAGTCCAACTCTCACATGCCGACTAGCAAGCTTGTTACACATGTGTACCTGCATCAAACATGAAAGGGTATTGCTATAGACACCGCTTTTGTCAAACAAGGAATCTTTATTCGATATTGCAGGATGAATCCACATCTAAAGATAACTCCAGATTTCATCAGTTTAATACTGAATCAAATTACCTAGTTTTCCATCCTCACTTATAAATGTTTGCATATACATATGCAACAATTTGTCATCAGCATATAAGGAACACACACACACACTTCGTGTATGTTTTCTCAACAGGACACAAGTAGAGGTCCCATACACACTGCTTGGCAAAAGAATCAAACCATTTTGAAATGTGAGCTCAAAAAAAATGCATCAAGATGGCACAGCAACCTGGGAACTTTTGTTGACAAAAAAAAAATCTGTTCCAGAATGGAATCTCTATTCTTGGTAGTAATACCTACAGCTAGAATCATCCCAAGCATGCCAAAGTCACACTTTTGTTCAAGTATATATGTTTTGAGTAGGAAAAAGATCTAAAATATAGTTCCAATCATCCAATGTCCTACTAGACTGGATTTCAATTATAGTCCCAATATGGTTTATTTGGATAGACATGGATTTAACTCAACCTCATAGGATCAGCGTGTAAGCTAATTCTTTTGCCTCCGATCAAAAGGACTCTTGATCTTCCTCTACTGAAAGAAGGACTAGTTGGGAAATTCCCATTCTTTTGGTTGGATGAGTGTGGACCAGAAAGAACTGTGAAGAATGGATGTTGTAAATCTTTTCTAGTCCTCCGGCGCTGCTTGTTTATTCGTCTAAACTCACCTCACAATAAATGCTTTAGAAATTCTTTCCTGGAAAAGTGGGGTAGTCTTAATTTGTCATGCACATATCAGCAATCAGTAGGGTAAGCACTGGCGTATATACCAAATACCAAATTTAGCAGCCTAGTGAACAGACCACAGAGGAATTATTCTTTACACAACGATCAGATTTATAAGAGGATTTTTTCCCCTCTGCTACATGCATGCAAACAGCATGTGATAGGTCTGAAAAATAAATGTTACTGATAGACGTCAGGATTTGCAGATGATAAAAGTGCAATTTAAAAGATGAAGACCACCGGCAATGGAAGAAATGGTAGTTTTGAACAGTCTTGAAAGGGAATTTCCCAACCCACTGTAAGACAGTAAACACAGAATAGACAGGACGAGTACATGAAGGGCGAATCAAGATTTTGTAAGAACACGGTAGAAAAGGAAATGATATTTCCCCAGGGTCTTAATTAATTGGCACAATCAATTTGCATTAATGAATTTTAAGCAAATGTATTTATCACACAATGAGGTCTCTCAATTCCTTGAACATCAGTATCAGTATGAGACCAAGTCCAGTAGTATTGGGCAGCCCTTGATATGGAATCATGGTTTTAACTTTTAACCCACATACAGCATAGCAGGCTGATAACTTAATAGCATCCAGAACACCTTAACTGCCACGACATACAGTGGTGAGGGCATGGCATGCCCATGTCGTAAACCTGGGTTGGAACCCATGGCGTGGCATCAGATGGGACACCCAGTCAAAAGAAACTTCATCAAACACATGGCAAACTCGTCCCCAAATAGCCATTCATTCTGGTGATATCAACAATCCTACCTAGCAACAGAGCCTCAAGACAGTGTGAAATTTTGCAGACAAACATCCTCACAGAACAACTCTAATTCAACTAAATATTATGGAGAGAATGCCTTGGCTCATAGAAAAAGGCAAAAAACATACAAACATGCTTTGCGTTCCTAAGAATAAGATAAGACTCGATTATAAGAGGCCAATTGGGCCAACCCAGGTGAATCACCCCGACCCCCTATTATTGGTACATGCTCTTCTGATTTTCTCAATACCCATCTAAACAACTTGGACAAGTTTGTCACTGTCAAATGCTAGAATGTTGCCTTTTTCTCCGTTTTGGGCTAGTACGATTGCGAGCCTCATGCTAGATCGAAACAGATGCAGGATCGTCGAAATGGAGAAAGTGGGACAAAATTGTGTAAACTAATCCGGATTCAACAGAGACCGACCGCGCGAACTGGAACGCAGGTAATAAAGACCACCGTGCGCCCGCCACTCCAATCGAAACAGCACTCGCATCCGATCTGCGAGAGGGATGACGACCTCCGCGGGTAAGTGGGAGCAGGGAGCGGGATTAACCTTTTCGTCGCAGGGCCGGCAGAGCGCTGCCTCGTCGGCCGCACAGAAGAGCACCGCCGGTGCGCTCTCGCACACATCGCAGATCGTCCGCATCCCAACGCCGCGCCGCTCCCGCCGCCAGTGTCATCGCTCCGCCGCCATCCGGGCGACAAAACCGCGGGTCCCCGCCTGGCGCCGCTCCCGTGTGTGTGATCCCTTCCCAGCGCTACGGTGTCGGCGGACGACGGCGGCGGCGGCTGAGAGAGATGTGGACCAGGAGGCGGCAGCAGAACAGAGGCCACACAGGAGCTTGGAGTCTTTGGACGATGAGAGATGTGGCAGCGACTAAGCGAAGGACGACGACACGGCGGAACGAGTATTTTTTTGATTTGGATGTGGTGGTGGTGCTAGGGCGTCGAGGGCTACCTCCTGCCTATGTGGTGGGCCCATTCTCTCGAGGCATCGTACCTGTAAACGTTCCTAGGCGCGGTCTATGCACCCAGAACGGCTGAACGGCTGAACCACAGCAAGCGACAAGCGACCTGTTTCGGCACGAGTATGGACCGTGCTCAGGCTATTCTCAACTCGAGACGGGCCCAAATACTATTTGATGCTCTAGGTCTTCTTCGGGTACAGAAGGATACCAACGTGACCATCACCGACATGTGGGGCAGGGATGCCATGGGCCCAGAAATCTGTGACTCGTACCTGGAGTCGATGAGCTGGTGGGGAGTTATTAGGTTCGGTTTTTGGATATGGGGATTTGGTCGTAGGTGGGCCCTCGAGAGGCGTTGGCCACAGAGAGAATGGAAAAGGAGCGGGATTTTGGGGTTGTGGCTCTGAATCAATTGCTTGGCTGCTCTACCGCCGATGGCCGCAGTCTTCCATGCCTTTTTCTTGCGGGCTGCCGACGTACATCGCCAATCCGGCTGCTTGGCGCAACGTGCCCTGGACGCTCGACCCAAGCGGTCGATCCGGGTGCCACCGAATGTATGGGCTCTGGGCTGTCGTCGGCTCAAATCTTGTGAACGCGGTATGATTAGAGATGGCACAATGGGCTCCAACCCTGACATGGTATGCAATACTCAAGTTCTGAGTAATCTTTAAATTATGATTTCATGTTAGCACCAATCACTAAGTTCTGATGTAAAGAAAATAATTGTATATCCAACAAATGGTGACAGCTTAATATGACACGATCTTCAAAATTACACTTTAACTATCTATTTATTTTATTTTATATTATTATTTAGGGCCGGTTTGGCACAGTTCACAATAGCTTCACCAGCTGTTGTGAGTTTTTTTTTTTGGCTAAACACTCATTTTCAAAACAGCTTCATTCATCTTCTCTCACAAAGACATGAGTTGAACGGAAAACAGTAGCTTATCCTAGCTTCATCTCTTGTATGTGGGCCCCACTGTGCACAGAAGACAACTTCTACCAGAGAGAGAGAGAGAGCGCGCATGGCCGCACGCTCACGGGATGGAGGCGGGCGTGGCCGCCCGAGGCACGGCTGCCGGAGCGCCGGGAGCGCGGCGCGGCTCGCCGGGGCACCGCCCGCCAAAGCCGGGGGCGCTGCCGTCGGGGTCGTGGGGTTAGGATGCGCCGGCAGCCGGGGCGTGGGCGAGCGGGCAGTCGGGGCGTGGGCGCGACCGCCGAAACGAGCGCGGCCGCCGGGGCAGGCGCGGCACTGGGGCGAGCGTGGCAGCCGAGGCAGGCGTGAGTGCAGCCAATCTCGCGTGGGGAAGAACGCGTGGAGAAGAAAGGAGAAAAAAAAAGAAAAAAGGGTACTTTGGTCATTTTTTCTTTTGTTCTATTTTGCTAAAGGGAATGAAAAAAACAGCTCAGCTTAAAAAAAAAAAAAAACTAGTTGTGAATCTGTTTTCTGAAAAATTAACTTCACCAGTGAAGCTGAGCTATGCCAAATGAACCCTTATTATAAGCTTATGATATTTGGATAGTAGATTCAATTACAAATCTAACCATATCAGATTTGTGTTATAATAATTAAAAATTATTAGACAAATTATTGGTCAAAGATTTTGAAGTTTGAATGTGTACGCCTCTTAAAAGAGAATGGAGGTAGTATACATCTAATTTCTTTGATTGCACGTTTTTAGGCTCCCATGCATTTAGGCTGAAGCTCCGCCGCAGACCGGTGGGAGAAAATGGGTTTATCAACAAACCCCCCCCCCCCCTAGGGCACGTTCGATTCCTAATACTGTCAGGAATGCTTCAATAATTTATATGGCTAACTCTCACTGGGATTGATTCCTGCCGAAAATAGCCCTTAATGGTCACTGCACGGTACATGGCCGGGCGGCCTGTCCGAAAGAAAGGACGTACTATCAATGAACGAGAAAGGACGTACTATCAATCAACGGAATAGCACCGTCGTCTCCATCCGAGGATGGTCCGTCATTGAAGATTACCACGTTGCCGTAAGTGTACACACATGTATCAGCGTCACAGAGCGCATACGTTGCATGCGGTGCACGCTGCACATTTTACTATAATGCAGTACATATATATCTGAACGATCCGTTTCAACTACCACGAAAGCGGTGGTGACCGGAATTCAAACGGCATCCATTCCAACCATGCAGATATCGAGCGAGCGCAAATGACCAAGGAGCATTCAAGTGTGGACCGTTGCATTCGTAGTCACACAGTTTCAGAGAAAAAGGCTGGCGACGAAATCGCCGATCGGATCTTGCGACCGGGGACCGGGGAGACTGACCGACGACGCGACGAGACGAGACGCTGGTGATAGGACCGGCCTGAAGAGCAAAGACGAACGTTGGCCGCCGGCCCGGCATGGCTTTAACTGCTGCCAGCTTCACAATAGCAGATTAGCAGTACGTGCTGAAGCTGATCGAGTGATCGGCGGCAATAAAAGCCGTCGGCCATGGATGTGGACCGCGATCGAGGTACCGGCCGGCCGCCCGGCCGTGCCCACAACACACGCCGTACGCCTCGTACCCAGACGACCTGTGCCCTGTGGTGAGCGGCAGCCGGCAGCAGCTCAGCTCTGGAAAAGCCATTCCCTCTGCAACGGCCGGCCACGCAGGCTGGACGGGCAACCAACCGCTTGAGCTTGACCAAACGTTGTACTACTCCATTTTTTTTTTGCCACGTTAGCTTAGCTGATAAGTCATGGCTGGAAGTAGTGTTGGCTGATTTGTTATGAGGGAAAAATATTGTTCGTTGGTTGAAAACATACGGCTTATAAGCCAAGTGAACAGGGCGTTTAGCCATCCCCGCTTTTGTTTTTCTGATTTCGACAAGGCCACCGCACGGTCACACGGTTATATTTAGCGATTGCTTCTGCAGTTCTGCATGTCCTAGCGCCGCTTGCTCCTTCACCGTCCCTGAGGGGGTACATCGCCGTGCGCTCAGCCACCGCCACCGTCGCGCCGCACATAGCGAACACGAGGGTCCTCCGTGACCATCGTAGATTACGATGATTGGCGCTGGCCTAGAGGCCTGTTCGCTTAGCTGATAAGTCATGGCTGAAAGTACTGTTGTTTGATTTGTTGTGAGAGAAAAACATTATTTATTGGCTGAAAAAATATGGCTTATAAATCAAATGAACATGACAAGATAGTAGAAAAGTAAAAAAAAAAACACCCTGTCCCCGTCTCGATTTTTTTTACCTTTCTGTTTTCCAGCCAATTGAAGGGAGGCAGGAACCACCAGCCACCATCTCCTGCCCCGCTCCGCCCGGTTCCATTTCCTCTCCTCCTCCTCCTCCTCTCTTCCCTCGCGCGAAGGAGAGGAGGAGGAAGCTCCTCGTCGACATTTCCTTCTAGTTTCTGTCAAACCACGGACCGCGGCCGCCGTCTTGCCGGAGGTAACGAACGACCTCTCCTCCTGCCTTCGACCAACATCGAGAGCAAATGGACACTGCATTTTACATTCTCTGTTTGTTTGGTTTTACTTGCGACGCACGGGGCATTTCCGTCTCCCATGCGAGCGCGCGAGCGCGTCGTTTTCAAGGATAGCGACGCGACGCACAAGCGACCGCGCGCGCTGACTGCTGGCGGTGGCGCACCCCTTTCGGCCCCCCGCACCCACCGCAGCCTCCGCGCGGCGAGGCCGGTCGCGGGGCCAACACCGACCGGGCGTCCGGGCGCCTACCGCACTCTTTCAAGGGTCGCTTCTCGCCGGCGGGCCTCTACTCGCGCCATGCGCTTTTGCTGCTGCATTTTGAACCCGATACGCACGAACACGACGCTGTTTTGGTTGTGCGTGCGTGATGCATGTGAGCGGTCGGGTGATGGGTTGGCTGCTTGTTTCTTTTCGTGTTGGATCAGTAGCAAGCAAAGCACACGCGGGCCGGAGCAATGGCTGGCGAGGAGCGCATCCTGGTGTCGGTGCGGCTGCGGCCGGTGAACGCGCGGGAGGCGGAGCGCGGCAACGGCTCCGACTGGGAGTGCGCCGGCCCGACCACGCTCATGTTCCGCGGCAACATCCCCGAGCGCGCCATGTTCCCCGCCTCCTACACCTACGGTGAGAAATGCATGCATGCACCCTTTCGCTCTGCTGCGTCGCTCGCGTTCGATCACAGTTCACATTTGCTCTCCTTGTCCTCCGGTTTCAGACAGGGTGTTCAACCCGGAGTGCAGCACCCGGCAGGTGTACGAGGAAGGGGCCAAGCAGGTGGCCCTATCGGTGCTCAGCGGCATCAACTGTACCTACGCTTTGCAAAAATTAACAGCACCAATTATATATTTCATGAGACTGAAATGCAATTATTCTCACACAAATTTTGTTCTCTGAATCTCTGCACGGCAGCAAGCATATTTGCGTACGGTCAGACTAGCAGCGGGAAGACGTACACGATGGTCGGCATCACGGAGCGCAGCATGTCAGACATCTACGACTACATTGACAAGGTTGGGTGATGGCCGTACATCAGATCAGATTTTGGCTGAATCATGCAACACCTTTCTGTTTTGCTGTGATTTCCTATTCGACTCCAACGTTCTGTTCTGGTCTCCTGCAGCATCCTGAGAGGGAGTACGTCCTGAAATTTTCAGCGATGGAGATATACAATGAAGCCGTGAGGGATCTCTTAAGCCCGGACGCAACACAGCTAAGGCTCCTTGATGATCCGGAGGTGAACTGTTCTTGACGGTTACCTGAAATTGAAACAGCACAAATTTCTTATGTGCCTGCACAACTCATGTTTATCCTTATGTGTGTCGTTCTTGATTCGATCAGAAAGGAACTGTAGTAGAGAAACTCACGGAGGAAACTCTCAGGGACAAAGGCCATCTCTTGGAGCTCCTTGCAGTGTGTGAAGGTCTTAAACCAAAGTTTCTTTTCTTTCCGTTCGAAGAAACAAGATTACAAGAAGCACCCCGTTAGGTTACTTCTAGTGCACTAATCCTTTCGGTTTCTGGGACAGCTCAAAGACAGATCGGGGAAACTGCTATGAATGAAACAAGCTCCAGATCTCATCAGATACTCAGATTGGTTGGCCCTTGTGCAGTACTTAATGATGTGCAAATGTTTTAGAAGGAATTAGTTTTTGTTCTAAAAAAACATGTGTAAGTTGCAGACGATCGAGAGCTCGGCAAAGCAGTTCATGGGACGAGGCAACTCGAGCACCCTTCTGGCTTGTGTGGTATGGATGTCTATTATACTGTATTTTCTTATCATATCTCAAGTATAGTACATTGTTCCATGTATTGCCCTCTGAGGTTTTCATTTATTCTGTCTGGGCAGAATTTTGTTGATTTAGCCGGAAGTGAGCGCGCCTCTCAGACACAATCAGCTGGTGTGAGGCTTAAAGAAGGCAGCCACATTAACAGAAGCCTGCTTACATTGGGAAAGGTCATTCGCCAACTCAGGTCCGTTAAGGTGCTCTAGTCATCTGTCTTTTGGCAGAGAAAACCACAATTCCAATCATATTAGTGTTAGTTTTGCAATTTGTCTTGAACCAAATGCCCTTCAGCATTGCAACTGTTGAACGCCTAAATCTGGACAACTCATTCCTGATGCAGCAAGGGAAGAAATGGGCATATCCCTTACAGAGATTCAAAGCTCACTCGGATATTGCAGTCATCTTTAGGCGGCAACGCGAGAACTGCTATTATTTGCACAATGAGCCCAGCGCACTATCATATCGAGCAATCCAGGAACACGCTTTTGTTTGCAAACTGTGCTAAAAATGTAGTTACTGACGCAAGGGTCAACGTAGTGATGTCAGACAAGGTGTTAGTGAAACATCTTCAGAGAGAAATTGCAAGGCTAGAGAATGAGCTGAAGTTTCCTGGATCAGCCTCTTGTAGCAATCATGCTGAGGCTTTGAGAGAAAAAGATGAGCTGATCAAACAGGTGCTGTTACTCTAACAAGTCATTTGCTTTTTGTGTCCCCATTCATGACATTTGTGTTGCTATATTCTTTGTTCATTTTGAACAAAACATATGTTGTTATGCGAATGAAAAAAAGAATTGTCATGGAGTTTCAGCTGGAAGAACAGTTGAAGGAATTGATGGAGCAAAAAGACACCGTTCAGTCTCAACTTGACAATTTTCGCCGAGTTGCAAGTGATGGAAATTTCAATGACCATGCAACAAGGCAATGGGTATATATTCTTGTTGCTGCACTCTGTTGTAAAACCATGCAGCGAACTTCTTAATGACATACTAATTGGCCTCCTTCTGACAGGATCAACGGAATAGGTCTTCAGAATCCCTTCCACGTAATGTGTCTGAAGACGCGCTTTCTTCTTCGGATACTTACGATGCTGTTTATGAAGAACAAGATGATCCAGGCTCAAAAGCATTAGATGCGTCACATGTCTGTAACGGTCATCATCATGACCCAGAGCTTCCCAAAACAACAACAGAACCATATCAACAAACAGTGGATGAACAGCCAATGTCTAGCTTGCATCAACCAAGAAACCATATTTCTGATAACATAGAGATATATCAACAAAATAGGGAGGTTTCATCAGAGGTTTCTGAGGAACATTGCAAGGAAGTCCAGTGCATTGAAAAGAATGAGCTTAGGAGAAGTCAATTATTCTTTCCTGCTGATGGATCTCATGCTGGCACAAACATCGATGAAGAAAAGCATGGTGAAAACATAACAGACACATCAGACATTGCCATCCAACTATACACATGTGATTCTGACCCATCTTCTGATACTGAGCAAACAAATACTGATGAATCTTTGGCCCTGAAGAGGTGTGTGATAAGCTCCAGGGACAGTGTACTAACTAGAAGCAGAAGTTGCAGAGCTAGCTTCATGGTCATTCCAAATAGTTGGTTTGATGGTTCAGTGGATATGAGAATGACACCCCCAGGTGACATTTTCAAATATGCTCACAGAAGGCCAGAGAAGGTTAGGAGGAGTCTATATCCTGAAAATGGTCATTGCCAAAATGATCCTACATTAGACTGCCCTGTGGTCTCCAGAACAGTTGCATCTGACACGGTTATTGACAAGAACACTTGCAATGAAGAAGACGAAGACGCCATCAATAACGTCAGCTGCATCACGAAGGTGAAAGAGAAGTCAGAAGAGTGTTGTACATCCCAACTAGAGGGCAATCAGGTACAAGTAGCTTCTTTATAGAAGTGGTCTCTCCATCGGTTCTGCTTGTGACACCTAGTTAGTTTAAGACCTCAAATTTTCCATTATACAAGCAATAAATGATATTTACCTGTAGATAAACGATTAAACGCAAATGATTTTCCTAATATCCCAACATTTTCAGCTCATCAAGCTGATTTTGATGTCTGCATATATTTTTTAAGCAGGATGACGTTACTGAAGAAATTTCAGACATGAAACATGCCAAAGATGTTGACAGAGATATATCGGTGACAACTGTTGACTCTCCTTCACGGTGGACTATTAACTTTGAGAAAAAACAGAAGGAAATCATTGATTTATGGCATGAATGCAATGTCTCTATAGTACACAGAACATATTTCTTCCTCCTCTTCAAGGGGGACAAAGCAGACAATATTTACTTGGAAGTGGAACACAGGAGATTGTCCTTCATTAAAAGTTCTTTCAGTGCCGGGTGTGAGCCTAATGCTACTGTTACATCAAGGTAAGTTTTGTCACAATTCATATGTATTCCTTAATAAGTTACTCAAATCGACAAATTTTCAGCTCTTTCTGTGAAAACGAATTGTGTGCATCCTTGTTATTGCCAGCTTGAGAAATCTTCGGCATGAAAGAGACATGCTCTACAAGCAAATGCTGAGGAGACTCAATCTTCCGGAAAGAGAGAGCCTTTACAGCAAATGGGGGATCGATCTGAATTCCAAACAGCGAAGACTGCAGCTATCGCGTCGCATCTGGACACAGACTGACATGGAACATGTGAGGGAAAGTGCCGCTCTTGTCATAAAACTAGTAGAACATCTGGAGAAGGGGCAGGCCATCAAGGAGATGTTTGGGTTGAGCTTCACACTAAACCCACGAGGTGACCGAAGAACTTTCAGCTGGGTTAGTGCTCACTCCTAAACTAAGCATTGTGACAATGACGATTATGATGGTTGATGGCTGGATGAGACGACAACAATGGCATGATGGTAAATGATGAATACATGGTAGAGGAGATCTCTTGTCAGATCTGAACTCATCCTAGCATTGGTTTTCACTAATGCCCCCGTATATTTCTTATCACTTATTATGCAGATGTACATGTGATGGATTTTACATTGCGGTACTGTCAAAATGAACCGACCTGAGATGCCAACTCTTTGCACCTAACCGTATGATGATGTATTGCTGTTCTGATTTTTTTTGCGTCAAATATATATCTAATCTACCTGATTCTTTGCTAAGGTAGATCAGATGCTATGAAAATGCAAGTGTTTGTTGTTGTTGTTGTTGTTGTTGTTGTAAGCTCGTTCCCTTCCTTTTCTCTTTGTAAGAGGCGCATCATGCTAATATAGTAATATACTCCCTCCATATCGTAATTAGAAGTTGTTTTAGACAGCATTGTGCATACCAAGGAGTGATTAATTAGGGAAAAATTTTCCTTCTTTGCCCTTATTAAATAGGCCTGCGGGTGTCACCTGTACAGCATTACTTCGTAGTCTGAGTGGTAAGCTTTCCGCCGCCCAAGGTTAGAGGTGCAGCGTTCGAACCCTCAGCCGCGCTATTTTTTTTACCTGTACGTGTGGATTTTGCATGAGGAATTTGCATGGCGCTGTGCACGCTCGCTGGCTCGTTGCTTTCGCTCGCGTTTAGGCGTGTTTGTGTACCATCTACCGCGCTATTTTTCCATTGGCGCGTGTGTAGGCTTAAGGAGTTCGTTTGTTTCGCTTGGGCGCGTTTAGGCGCGATATTTTCGTTCTTTTGGCGCTCACGCCGTCTTCCGTCATCATCTCGACGCCGACTTCCGTCATCATCTCCATGGAGTCCGGCGCGAGCTCCATCTCCTCCTCGAGGCCGTCTTCCGTCGTCATCTTCATGGAGTCCGGCGCCAACGCCGACGTCGAGTCCGCCGAGGATGCATCCATGGAGTCCGGCGCGGGCTTCATCTTCTACTGCAGCAAGGGCGAGCGGCTAGCGGCGTGCAGCGGCGGCTAGGGCTACTGGGCAGCGGCGTGCGGCGAGGGCGAGGGCGAGCGGCCAGTGGCGTGCGGCGGCGTGCGGCGAGGGCGTGCGGCGTGCGTCGAGCGGATGGGAGGGCGTGCGTCGAGCGGATGGGAGTAGCGGCGCTAATAACTCGCACGGATGGGAGGCCAATCGCGCATGCGTCGAGCGCGGCGCTAATAACTCGCGCGTCGCGGGAGGCCAAGCGCGAGGGGCAGCGGCGTCCAAAGCTGCGTTCATGCGGCAGAACGACATCTTTTCGTCAACTCCATTCCAACTGCAGAATGACTTCTAATTACGATACGGAGGGAGTATGACCAAACTAACTCAAAAAACTTCGATTATGATTAAACTAAAAACGGGGAAAGAAACCCACTATCAACTGGACTCAAACACTTCTATATGACTCAAAAGACGTTTCTAACTCATTTCAAGAGGGCTTCAAACATGATTTTGAAAAAAAAAACACTTTGACCTTGATGTGAAAAGGGGAGAAATATATTTTTTTTGCCATCAATCTATCGCTCGAGTCTGATTCTGACTGTCGAACTCGAAAAACAGAAATCATCAGCCACACAACTATTGAAACCAGTCACGTTTGGTGGTTTTAACAGTTCAATGACCAAAGATTTCTAGGTTTCTGAGTTTAATAGTCGAACTTAGTCTCTCAAACGATAGTTGAATAGTCAATAGACTAATCCCTATATTCAAATACATTGTTTTACATACGTACCAGTGCCATCTTGACGGCGGGCTCCCAAACGCTAGCGTTGGAGCGAAGCCTGAAGAAGGCGACTCGATCACATTCACACTGGCGACGAGGGAACGAGGAAGGGGATCACATTCACACTGGCGACCAGGGAACGAGGAAGGGGATCGAGTATTGACGTCGTAAGTCACGTGACTCATGATCGTGTTTTTTTTTTTGGAATTACACAATACAACACACAGAGTGTGCGTGCATCATGGTTATAGGTGGGAGGAACCAACTGTAGCAGGCTTCCATTGGGCCTTGCTTAATTTGTTTTGAATGGGCTTTAGTAAATTTGTCTTGGGCCTTGCAAGATGCAACCCTCTTCCTCACTTTCACACTTCTCGTCTCCTCCACGGTCAATCGGGTGATCTGAAGGCGGCGGCGGCGGCACTCCGAGCTTTCACGACATGGCGATGCGGTTGGCGGCGGCCGCCGCGTTCGTGCGGCGCCTGGTGCCGGCGCGCCCACCAGTACCCGTCCTGGCGGCGGCATCTACGGCGGAGTCGGAGGCGGAGGCGGTGACGTGTGGGCGCGGGGACAAGAAAACCAAGCGCGGGAAGCGGTTCAAGGGCTCCTACGGCAACGCACGGCCCAAGCGGGAGAAGAAGATTGAGCGCATCAAGGACCGCGTCGAGGTGCCCCGCTCCACACCCTGGCCCCTCCCCTTCAAGCTTATCTGAGTGGGGACTCCCAGGCCCCCCTCCCCCTCGGTTCGCGAGGGTACCTAGGGTTTACTGTAACAGTTGCTGCTACTTCGCCGTTTCCAGTTAGCTGCACGCCTGCGCGGGCGTGTGTTTGCTTTGTTTTTAATTGTCTCTCAATTGTGTGGTGTCAGATATGTACTGTCGAACTGCTCTGGTTCAACTTTGACCAATGCAATATCCTTTTGGATGGAAGTGAAATATGTTTCTGTTCCATCATTCTGTTAGCGTATGCATAATTGGAAAATGAATTGATCCTTTACTCATCAGCAGTTAATGATGTTCTCCACGCCTGTTAATAGAGTTGTTGAAGAATATCAGCTTAGGTTGGATCCTCTCTTTGTTGTTCTACTGTCTTCACTTAGTTCAGTCACATGCCGTTCATAATGAAATGGCAAAAACTGCCAAGTATATATTTCTAAGATGACAAAATCCAAATTATTGGTGTCTTGAATTTCAAGGTGTTCAAGGTACATGTGCTTGTACTGTAATTTCTTTGTAAAATTATAGCTCACTGAATGAACATCTTATTTGTATGTCCTGTGTTACAGGGTTACTATCCAAGCAAAACGAAATCCTCTTCCTCCCCAAGTCTTCTCACTTATTTCCCTTCTGCTGTTCTTCAAAGCGTCCCAAATTCTCTTATATTTTTATCATTTGCTCGTACTGAATCCCAGAATTCATCCAATCGAAGCTGGGATACTAGGGTTTATTAAATATGCATACCTTCTTCCACTGAAACATCCATTCTCTGCCCCCTCAAGTAGCTAAACTCTTTCTAAATAATGTTGTAAAACAATCCTGTCTGACAGAGACAAGATCTTTACCAGTGCTTTGTGGACTGTATTGTTCAACCTCCTTGGCACTAAACTGCAGCTCAGTACTGCTTATCATTCCCAAACCAATAACCCAATAGCCAGACTGAGTGTATCAATCATTTATTCCTTGTGCCTATGGAGTTTTTGCACACAACATTTCATTTCACGTGGCACTTTGGCGTTCACTTTCAAGGTATTTGTCGGGTTTATAAACCCGGGGTCCCTCATGGACCTGCTTCCCAGCAAAAGCTCGGCCCAGCAGACGACGTTGCGAACGACGCGCAACTCCTGGGCCGGCCCAAAAACCTAACGACAGGCCAGAAGGGCGATCCAGTCTCCGACTGGAAGGCCTGGCCAAGAAGGAACAGCGCTCGCTTCCGACTCCGGCCCGCCTCTCCGACCGGAAGGCCTGGCAAAGGAGGAACGACGCTCGCTTCCGACTCCGGCCCGCCTCTCCGATCGGAAGACCTGGCCAAGGAGGAACGACGCTCGCCTCCGACTCCGGCCCGCCTCTCCGACTGGAAGGCCTGGCCAAAGAGGACCGGCGCTCGCCTCCGACTCCGACCCGCCTCTCCGACCGGAAGGCCTGGCCGAGAAGGGACGACGCTCGCCTCCGACTCCGGCTCGCTTCTCCGACCGGGAGTACATCAAACCTCTGCTTACAACTCTTCTCCTACCGGGAGTTCGGAGCCGACTGGGGAACGACCGACCGGGGACGCCCGCTCGGTGAAGACCCAGGAAACAGACAGAGCAAGTAAGGCAGGGCGCTCCAGTCAACCGCAATATTAAGGACCGTACCCTGCACACCTGCAGGACAGTACTGTCAGGTCATGTCAGAAGGGTGCTTTATAACCTTCCAGACATGTCAGAGCACCAACAGTGTTGTGGGCGCCGACATTTGACCTACCGTATGGTAGGCGTCGACATTTGCCATACCAGAAGAACATGGTGGAACCAACCACATACATCCAGCCATCAACAGTATTGTGGGCGCAGACAAACCGCCTTGTATCCGACGGCGTGGGCAACAAGGCTAGGAAACACACACACTCCCTTTCTCTCACACTCTCTCTCTTGTAAAGCTGTCCCCTTCCTTTATAAAAGGGGATGCGCTCTCTCCAAGGAGGGGAGGATCGATTCACATAGACGATTCCAACGAACAATAGACGGATCACTCCGATCCTCTCTGCCTGGCTCTAGAACTCTAAAGCCAGACAGAGCATACGTTCGAACACTTAGCGCACGTTGGAGCTCCCGTCGCTCTTGGCCCTTCGGTCCAGAGTCCGACCGGACCTCTGATACCCCCCATCTTACTCCCTCTCGTTTGTAACCCCACAGCAAACTTCGAGCACCTGGGCTCAGGAATAAAGTCACCGACCGACTCAAACTGGACGTAGGGCACATTGCCTGAACCAGTATAAACCCTGTGTCATTGAGTGCTAGGCCACATCCGATCACAACGTACGGCAAAACTACAAATATTTACGTGTTGGTCACTTTTCGCACCGACAATTATTTGGTTTTGAACTACCACAAGGGTATGTTCCTGTTTTGTCTGAAAGCACACATAGGTGACTTCTGAAATACTGCAGGAACGAAAACCGTTTCCAGATTTGCTGTTAAGGGCTCAAAACAAGATGAAACTATGTGCTATTTAGAACATGTCTGGTTTTCACTTCCTAGTTGGAGAAAAGATTTAACTCAAGCTTCAGTCTTATGCTCGACCCTTGGTTGGCCACCGGCCATTCCCCAATTTGGCACTATTGTACGTGGCCCCCTTCACCATATTCAAATAATCAAATGCATTGGACCTTCTACTTACAAATGTGGCCTTAGCCTTGTCGCACTAACATACATTGGAACAACAGCCTGTTACGCTTGGCAGGCTGGCCTGCTGGCCTTACAAGGCTGTTACCTAGCTTCCGATACCCATCATCATCCTTTCTGTTCCTCCTTTCCCGAGCTGTTGTTTAGCCAATGTGTAAATGCTACAGAAATGCCAATTGCATAGTTTTTGAGGTATTCGGCCAATTAAATGGGATGCCTTATACTCGATCTTGGCAAGCCTCAGCTTTTATTCTCAGCCTTAGCGGGACTGCGTGTTTTTGCTTCTAGGTGGTGACCAGCATGTGTAGGCGGCGAACTAGCATTGTTGAGAGATCAAGCTCAGCCACATATGTGAGAAAAAAACAGTATGTGGTTACGAAGAATTGCACGCACATGGCCTGTCCTGTTTGTAAGCCCTTTAGGGCATGATTGGTTGCTTGTGTTAACCCAAGACTGTATTGGGTCCAAGCCAAGTTAGCCCAACCCAGTATAAATGTATGCAATTAGTTGGTGTTTGATTGCCCTGCATGGAGTTGCATTTGGTAAGATTATGTTTGATTGGCTGAATTGTATTGCATGAGGTCATCTCCTTGTTCTTGTGGTGAGATTAAAATATAATCACTTCCACCTTCCCACCTCCATCTTAGTTCACACCACCTCGTCTTCATTGTCACTTCCTCGATGCCCATCCATCTGTGCTGTCATCCTACCCGTACCTCGCCGGCTCGCCGCACACTGGTGTTGTCAGTGTGGCCACGTCCCTCAAGACGGAGGCCCCCGTGTCCTATGTTGGGATGCGGTGGGATCCTACTACTCCTGCTCGGGGGCAACAGCGAGATCCCTATGATCCGCCTCCACATTTACGATGTTGATGAGGTCGACCTGGACCTCAACCGTGTCAAGGGCCATGGGGGCTCGTTACCTGTGGTTCCCAGATCTGCGGTGGCCACGACGTGTTAGGAAGTGTCAAGGTGGTGTGGTGGGTGCCAGGAGGGGTGGCGAAGGGAGGGGGCACTTGGGAACACGGTGGAGGTCAGCCATGGTAAGGGGCCTGGGACTGGGAGTCTGGGACGATGTAAGCAGTGGAAATGGGGACATAAGGACACTTCAACCTTGTGGACCCATGGTTTGTGCAAGATTACACAAGCTAGCACAATCAATTTTGGCATGGTCCATGATGCAGGTTTGGAGCCTGCTTCTGCACTCCCTAAGGGTCCGTTCGGTTTCCAGGGACCCGTTACCTGGAACTGATTCCTGCCTGGATTGCTTTCCTAATTTATATAACCTTTGACCAACTGGGACGATTCCTGGGTGGATTCCGGGCTAACCGAACAGGCCCTAAGCCTGCTTAAGGCCCAATTTGAGTAACCAAATATTACAAGCTTACCACTGGATAGGCCCTAATGAAAGCAACCAATTACAACCTTAGGGTTCCTCTCTTCCATTTTCCACCCGCAACCACTCCTCATCGTCCAGCCGCCGCCGCCGCCGCCGCCACCGGTTTGTTCTCCAGTGCATGCCAGCACAGCTGCTCGTGTGCGACCTGGATCCTCACTCCTCAGTGAGCCGTGCAGTCTAGCTCTCCTCCGCCTCTTTTCTTCGGCTGTTCACCATTCGTCCAGCTCTCATCTCCAATCTACCCAGATCTGAGACTCGAGCTCCAGGTATTTTTGTTCATCCTCCTCTTGTAGACTCTAGCGCTTGGTGTGTTGTGCTCTGTGTCGTGCTGCTCCATGAATGCTTGTGCTAATTCTCTATTGATTATCTTCATTGTAGCAACTAGTTTGCTTTCTACCTTGTGTGCATTCTGTGCTGGCCTATGCTTATGTGCTCTGCTCTGCTCAGTTTGTAGTGGTTGTGTGCTATCAGACAAATCATTTTGTGGTGAGATTAGAGCTGGTGCTGAATTGTTATGGCAATTATTGATATGAATCGTTGGTTAATGAATTTGAGGACAATGAAAGATTGAAGTAGAAATCCTAATAGTTATGCCCCATATCTCATAATCAGTTTCTCACTTCAAAATATGGTATGAAACATGCCATCTATAGTTATATGTTTGCGCATATGCTTGAAGTCCTTGATGCTACCATGCTATATTACAAACTGTGTAGTTGCTTTCTACACATCCTAAACATTAAACAATGAGTGATCAACCATTTCGTGTTTAGTACTTTAGTGTCTAGGTGAATGCATGTAGTTTGCTCTGCTGCTCCCAGTTTGTAGCATGTATCTCTTCTATTTCTTGCTGGAATTCGTCAAGTGTAAAATACACCGGTGGTCCTCGAACTTTTTCTGTGGTTCACTTAGGTACATGAACTCTCAAATTGAATTGCCATGTTTCTACATTTTTCAAGTGGTTCACTTGAGGTCCATTGGTGCCTATTCAGGTCCATTAGGTGATTTAGGTGAGTTTGGGAAGAGATCTCCTTTATGCAATATGATTATATTGTGGCTCGATCAGGGGTTATATTGAAGCACAATATATTTCCTATTGTATACTTGATGTGTAGAAATAGCTGCATGTGGTATAAGTATCGTATGTCTTGGATTGACTAATGTATATGTTTATGCATGGGGTTTGTGCAATTTTTTTTGCAAATAGACTTTTTTCATGAATTGAGAATATTTGGAATATCATGAAGCAGCTAGCATATCAATAAGAACTGCTTACGTTTTGTTGTATAGTTGGGCATTTTAGAATGGAAGATGTAGAATTGTTCCCTGGTTTTTATGTAGATGGATTGTTTACTATGCTTTGAGGCACTGTTAATAAAAATGGGGGAGTTTGGAAAAATGAAGAGAGATGTACAGTTGTTCTCGAATCTTCCATGTTTCGGTGATCTGGTTGTTTGGTTTGGTGCAAGTTCATATGTGGAGTGGAGGATGAGGATCTAGCAATGAAATTGGCATGAGTCAAGATGTACAGGCAGCTTGCTCGGGGTTTACATATTGCATGGAGGTGGTGGTTGGCTGCACCTTGCCTAACTAAAAGGTTGCCTGGCGAAGATTTGTGATAAAAAAAGCAAACAGACTTGCCCTTCAATCTTAGTTTTATTAAATTGGAATAAATGTAAATTCCCAATATATTTCTTGAAATGGAAAGTTTGCATTATGCATTACTACAAGATGGATTCATGCGCAATTAAGGTTTTCTGAACTTTTACCAGTATATGTAAACAAACTTCTATACTGGGCAGTTGAAAATAAAATTGATAGATCATCTTCAATAACATTATCAGGTTAATTCTGCTTTCTTGCTATATGGTTGGTAAAACACAACTGATGATGACCATGCTTTGCTGTTTTTGGATAGTGACCAACACACTTAGAAAAAAAAACTATATGTTTGCAGTAGGTGGTACATGCTATTTATGCAAATGAAAGTTCCTTTTTAGGAATGTTAAACAGAGTTCTGGAGTTTAGGATTTCTTTTGGGTATCTTTTGTGATGCATTCATATTATTAGTAAAGGTATATGTTGCAGTACAATATATTTAGGCCCTCTTTGGCAGGGCTCCCTCTGGCTCCGGCTCCATGCTACAGTGCCAGAGGAGCTAGAGCCGGAGGAGCTAGAAAACGTGGCTTCTTCGGGCTCCTAGTTCATTCCGCGAGGAGAGAGAAAAACGGCTCCCTGCTACAATAGCTAGTTTAGGAGGAGCCGGAGCCCTTAGAAGCCTTGCCAAACAGGCTCTTATATTTCTTTGTTTGGAAGAGTTTTTTGGATGCCAATATTTTATTAAAGATTTCCCAACTCAGTTCATAATCAGTTCATTATTTCTTCATGCCACCAAATCTGATTGAAATTGTTTGTATGGCAGGAAACATGAGGCAATCAAGCTGCCTTAGAACTGCTTATGAATCCTGTAACAATGTAAGACTAGGTTATTCCAATTATCAATCAAGAATTCTTCCACAGGACTTGATAAATGAGCTGCCAGAAGCTTGCATAGCTGAAATATTCAGGCATGTGGAAAACCCAGAAGATCGGCAGTCATGTGCCTCTGTCTGTTGGAGATGGGCCAACATATTGGTCTCTCAGCGGCCAAACTTTTGGGGCCCCTTCAGTGTTCATCAAGCCGTTCACCCTTGCCTGCATCTGTCTAACGTTGATGACGTCAAGCTTGCAGCGGCTGTTGTTGACATGTGCGCAAGGGATGTGGTGACTGATCTTGATCTTCATTGTGCGCCATGTGGGGCTGCTGTTGATGGAGTTCCACGGCTCACTGATAGTGCTATCCGTTTTGTAACCAGTGCATGCCGCAATCTGAAGTCAGTTTGTCTCGTTGACTGTGTCTCTCTCACGGATAAAGCTGCCAGGATCATTGCTTCAAACTGCCCTGCATTAGAAAATCTCGTTATGTTACAGTCTTCAATCAGTGATGATGGTCTTTCTCAGGTTGCTAAGCAATGCAGAAACCTGAAGTTCCTCCATATCGAAGGGTGCTTGTCCATAACTGAGGCGTCTCTAAGAGCCCTTGTGCAGTATGCCAAGAGACTTGAGTCTCTTACTCTGGGAAGCTGCCCTCAAATTGGGCAAGATGCCATCTTGTCCTTACTGATGAACCAGCCTTATCTGGACAAGCTTGAGCTCAAGGGCATGATGACTGGAGAATCACATATAAATTTTGCTAGACAATCATCAGCCCTCCATCAATTATGCTTATTTCGCCAGCTCTCTAGCCTCATCCTGGTGAAATGCCCAGGTTTACGGAACCTGGGCATGCTTAACTTTGCTAGAATTCACTTTCGATTGCTACGACATTTGGTAATTGATGACTGCAGGGGAGTGACAGAACTTGGCTTGAAGTGGCTGTTGGGCAATGCCATGAATCCCACTAAGCTTAAGACCATTAAACTTGTCAGGTTCCTATTTTTTACATATAAAGCTGCAATAGAAGTTATGTCCTTGATCAGCAGTACAATTGAATCAATGATTATGGATTCATGTGATTTTGGCATGATGATGCCACACTATCTTGATGAAGCTGTGGCCTGTGAGTGTCCCAAGCTGAAGGTGATCAGTATTGAGCACTGTGAGAGAACTATGGAGCTCTTCTTGTTATGGGTCAACACGGTGTGTCGTGGGCTTAAGAAGCTTAGGCTCGTTGGCTTTCCAGCACGTGGTCAGGCTTCTCATATGGAACACATTTTAAGTGGCATCCTGCACAGCAATGGAATCACAAAGGTTGAACTGCAATCCTACCATTTGACAGACAGGCATGTTTGCATTGTAGCTCAATCATGCCAGGGAGCTCTGCAGGAACTTATATTGGGTGAATGCCCGAACATCCGGGGCAACTTTGTCGTGCGTCTCAGAGAGTCTTGCCGCAATCTAATCAAGTTGACCTTGAATCATATTCAAATCAGCGATGTCCAAATCAGGATTCTTATGCTTGTAGGATTTCACCAACTTGAGGAGTTTAATTTAATGGAGTGCCCCTTGATCACTGACAGGATACTGGCTATCTTACATGCATCAACCTTGCCCAACCTGAAGAGAATCAATTTGTCAGATTGCCCTAATGTCACCCAGGAGGCTGTTGACATTTACCAGCGTCGCTGGGAAATCGAGTACTAAGGGAGCTGAACCTCCAGAAGAAAAATAAACTTGGCTGTGTGCTTCTGTTTGCAGCTAAATCTGGTAGGGTCATCGTAAACTTTGATTTCACCTTTGAAACTTTTGTCGTCTTGAGGAACTGAAGTATGTGGTATCCTACTTGACAATGTCGGTCCTGTTGCTGCTTATGTTCACAGCTCCTCTGAGATGCTGTTCTGCTTTTGTTTCCAGTTTATATTTCTGGTAGGGTCATCGTAAACTTTGATTTCACCTTTGAACTTGTGTCGTCTTGTGGAACAGAAGTATGTGGTATCGTACTTGACAATGCTGGTCCTGTTGCTGCGTATGTTCACTGCTCCTCTGAGATGCTCTGCTGCTTTTGTTTTCCGGTTTATATTTCTGGACTGGTGCGGTGCTGGACTGCTAGTTCTGTTTGTCAAAAGATGCAAAAGTCGGCCAGATTTTGCATCTATGAACATGTGACTGCTCACTGCAGATGTGCTCGACAGCCTGTGCTTATTTTTTTTTTGTTCTGATGACTGGCAACACCATCTATAATTTCATTTCATTTCTGTGGCAAGTCGAGATCAAAACACGTTGAACACGGTGAAAGTGCCCGTTTTATCTCGTTTCAATGACAAGTCTGATTTCAGGTAGTGAGATCATGCTAGTCTCAGCGATCAGGTAATGTGCAGACAGAGTTGACAGGGCTTTGACCTCGACGCGCGGCTACACCAGACAATTATCTTATTACCTGATCGCTGAGAATGTAGCTCCATTCGTGCGGTATGTAGTCTTTTTTTTTGTGAGTAAATGCAGTCGGGGTGTTTGGATCCTTGAGCTAAAGTTTAGTCGTTGTCACATCGAATATTCGGAGGCTAATTAGGAAGACTAGAAATGAGCTAATTCTAAAACTAATTGCAGAAGCTCTGAGCTAATTTGCTAGACGAATCTATTAAGCCTAATTAATCCATCATTAGCAAACGGTCACTGTAGCACCACATTGTCAAATCACGGACTCATTAGACTTAATAGATCCGTCTCGCAAATTACCTTTATCTGTGTAATTAGTTTTATAATTAACCTATATTTAATACTTCTAATTGGTATTTAAAGATTCTCTGTGACAGGACTAGACTCTAGTCCAGAAATGCTAGAAGCGGAAGTGCTCGTGACTAACTCTTGTGGCCCATGGGACACAGCCCGTATGCATACGCAGCCCACCTAGGCCTATTGGTCTGAACATTGCGCGTTACAGCGATGCGGCGGCCTGGTCCGGTCCAGTCAGCAGTCACTCTCTCCTTCCTTGACACAACGCAGTGATAGAAGTTTCTTCTTGTATGAAAAAAAAAGTATTCCTTATCCTTCGTTGTCGTCTTTTCGACAGTGCTTCCTCAAATGGTGCCATGCTCTTGGATCTATGCCTATCCATCAGGCTGCCGTCAGGTAATGGATCGTATGACGATGAACAGTGCCTGATCATGACAAGCGAGCGACCAGAAAACTCTTGGCTTAGCTCCCTCCTCCAGTCTCCAGATCTTGTTCGTAGCTAGTACTGTAGTAATCTCTGCACTCCTCGGAGCAAGCAAAGCATAGAAAAGCTCCATGACCCTTGATCATGGCGCTGTGCTGGTTTCGACGAATCACAACATATCTGTTCAGCCTTCAGCGTCGGCCATGGGGGTTCAGGTACAGGCAGCACTGTTCAGTTTCAGTGTTCGCCATGATCCTTCCCCTGGAGCCGGAGGCTTGACGTTCTCTGAGTGATGGCGATGAGATCATGGACGAGTCAACCAAAGATTGTCTCCGTCGATCCGTCTGTGGGGAGAGGAGCCCGCGTTGACTGTCGCTGTTCATCCCAGGGTTGTCGTGTTCGAAGAAACGTCGCCCAGTTCGTTTCTCTTAGGGGGCCGTTCGCCCGGCTAATCATGCGGTGTTTTTCTTTCATGACAAAACACTTTTAGTCGGCTTATCAGTCGGCTTTAATATCAGCGCGAACAATATTTTTTTCTCACAACAAATCAACTGGAATATTGTTTCGATTTGTTTTTTCATCGAAGCAAACGGCGCCATGTATCTACGCTGCTTGTCCGAAAGGATCACGACGTCCGTCCACCACAGACAAAAGAAACAAAAGAAAAAAAGAAAAGTCTTTCTCTTCACGCAGTAAAAAAGGATCGGTCGGTCTCGATCGTTTACCAGCAGCAGATTTACATTGCCAATTCACCGTGCAGACAAGCACGGTGGCGGTTGTCAGTTTATATTCTTCTCTAACAATATATGCCCAGAAAATGTACTCATCGGTTTTTCTTTTTTCTTAAAAAAAAAACAGAGACAGGCCGTAGTACTTCTTGCAGTAACAACACATGGCGGCATGTATGAAACTATGTATGAATTATGATGATATACGTATCTCGCCAGCCATACGGTTCAGTGAAGAAGCCAGTCGGGGACCGGAGATATTCGGTAGCTACAGTAGTCCTACGGCGATCAGCATGGAGAGCAGTGCCCACTGCCGGATGCCGGTGCCGGTGACCTCACAATAGATGTACACAGTAGCTAGCTAGTAGGCACGTAGAGCTAGGCAGCTAGATGCCGGCGGCGGCGTAGCGCAACCTCACACGCAACTCCGGCGTCCGGCAGCAGGCAGCTGCAACTGCAAGCGCCAGCACTGTAGCGGCTACATGCGTCGTCTGGACTCTGGAGCAAATTGCTAGCCGCAGCCCGCAGCGCAGCACGGCATGGGGGCGGCCAATCGGGGAGGGAAAGGTGGGTGGAAGCGGGGAGAATGGAGCGGGGCCAACCGGCCGGCCGGGCCGGACAGCGCCCAGCGGAGGCCAAATCCCTGCACTGTTGACGCCGACAGGTGACGGGATCGGGATGCGTGTACGTGGTATGCGCCGTAGGCCCTTCCGCGGTTCCGCCCTTGTCGATTCCGCGCTCGCGCTCGCAGCGGGCGTCGATCCATCGATCGAGACAGGGGGCCATGCCGAGGCGCTGTAGCGGTAGTACGTGTCGCTGGCCGTGGCCGATCCCTCGCCTCTCGTTCGCTCGCCCGCCCGCCGCCCGCTGCGGCGCTGCCTGCCTTCCCCTCTCGATCGCCCCGCTCGGCCATGCCTCGCGTGATATCACCAGCAGTCCAGCACCACGCGGCCAGCCGATGCTGATCGATCGGCGCGCTGTAGCGTAGCGCCGCAGGAGGGCCCCGTGAACAGTCTCCACGCCGTGCATGCGGCGGCATTCATGTCGGGTAGGTTCTTGTTCGCCGCTATGTATCTATCGGCTCCGGTCGAGCATTGCTTTGCTTATTTGCCCGACGAAAAGTCGAAAACGATGGGATAAGTACTAAGCCGATAAAGTTTGGACGATCGAGCTCATCTGATCAGCGCCGGCCGGGCGACGTACATGCCCTGTCCGAACACATGGCCTGTTCGTTGGCTGTGGCTCGTCGTAAACAATCGTAAATTTTTAGTCGGAACAATATTTTTCTCTCACACAAAGTAGCCAACAATACTTCTTCACGAACCAGCAACGAAACGAACCAGCCAACCGAACATGCTGATAATTCGTCTTACACAATTAAAGCCATGTTCAAACGTAGACCATAAACTACATATACATACTCCGTATACCCGGCCCGGCATTGCACAAATTCTTAGCTGTCTAATGAAACGACAGGGAAATCCAGACCCACATGAACAGAAAATGCACACCCAATCCGACGTTGCACCTGAACGTAATTTCCTATGCATTCAGTCCATTTGCAAACTGCAAGAAAGGCGAACAGCATCTCTATCTGTGCCCTTGTCAGTCAGTCAACGATAGGTAAATTATGAAGACACGAAAATCCGAGGGGCCATCATCGATGGCATAATACTCAACTTGATAAGATAGTAACCGGGAAGGGATCAGCAAGAGCCACTAGCCCGTAGTTTAGGCGCGGGTCAGTCAGTGGACTCGGAAGGGCCAGGTGTGTCAGACTTTTCTGCCGAGCGATACACACGGTCCAAACAAAAGTCGCCAGCGACACCGGAAAAGGAGGATACCTGGATGACATGTGCAGGAGGCTGATAACACCGCTGGCTGGCTTGCGCCTCCCAGTCCAATTCAACCGCGCCATCTGCTCGCTGTCTTTGTTTGGGCAGCGCTTTCGTGTGATCGTGTCTATATAGGTGCCGCCAACGTAGCCTACCCACAACAGCACGTGCGCACGTACGTACGTGTACCACGCGTTGGTACGGTGATCTGTGTATGGTACTCCCGAGCCTGAGCCCAAAATGTACGCCGTTTGCGAGTACGTACGCTCTTTGCGCAGCGAAGACGCGAGGTTCACTCGGTTCCGGAGAGCGAAACAGCATCTAGCGCCCGCGGAATCGAAACAGCCTGGTGACACCCCCAGCTGGTGGGCACGGGCCGGCGTCTCGTTGTCTCGTTACTCGTGATCGAGCACGCCACTTCGCACTGCAACCCCGGCCCGGCCGTCACGGCCGCCGGCCACGGCCAAATTCAGCACAACGGCCAAAACGGCAGCGCGCCCGCGCCGCCGCGCCACCACCACGACGGAACCCCGCGGCCCGCGCGCTCCCGGAGGGGCGAGGGCTCGGCGGCACGGCAGGTATAGCTAGCCTAGCCTGGCACGGGGACGCGCCGCCACTGCCCGCCCGACACGTCCCTTCCACCGGAGTCCCTGCCCATCTTTCCAACCAGCCAGCCAGCCAGCCAACCCCGCGCACGCAAGCGCAACGGAGCGCAGGAACGCGACGCCACGCGGGCAGTTTTTTAAACTTATCCAGCCCCGCCGCGCCCGTACGCACGTTTCCCTCCGTCCGCACCAACCGGGTAGGCGCCCCTGCCAACAAGGTGGCAGTGCCCCGCCCCGCCCGCGCGCGGCGCCATAACAAGCACCACCACTTGGTGGCACGCACCGCGGCACCGGTACAAATCGGAAAAAAAAATTATATGCATACCGTAGCCCCGCCATGCATACATGGCGACACGTGTTGGGCTTCAAGATCCAACGC